ATATGTTTTCTTTCCCTTTCTCTGTCTCTTCTCCTTTGGGTGCACCAATAATCTGCATGTTCTTATACTTGATGGTGTCCCCATAAATTTCTTAACCTATCCTCACTCTTTTCAATTTTTTTTTTTTGTTCCTAAGATTGTGTAAGTTCTTGCTGATTCTTTCTTCTTCTTGATCTATTCTGCTATTGAATCCCTCTATTGAATTTTTCAATTCAGCTGTAGTTCTCCTCAGCTCTTCTGATTTCTGTTTGGTACATTTTAATATTTTCTGTTTGTTGACATTCTCGGTTTGTTCTTGCATTATTTTCATGGTTATCAATGAGCATCTTTATGACTATTATTTTGAATTATCTGTTGGGTAAATGACATATCTCCACCTCACTTGGGTCAGTTTCAGATACATCTTGTTATTTTATTTAGGAGATATTTCCCTTTGCTTTGTTTTCCTCGACCCTTATGTTGGTATCTATGCATGAGATAAAACGACTACCTCTGCAAGTCTTGTCAGATTGGCTTCTTGTAGGATAAGTACCTCACCAGTCTATCTAGCCAGGGATATTAAGTTACCTCTCAAATCTATGTGCTTTTCCAGACTACTATCTCTGTTTTTGGTGGCCCTTGAGCTTAGGATGTGTCATATCCTGTCAGTACCCTGAGGCAAGTAAGTTAGAATCCAGACTCCCTAGATGTAGCTGGAAAGGTTGGGGTGTTGAGTATATGTTTCAGTTCTTTCTATCTTCACTGTGAAGTTGGGCATGGATATTTATCTCCCACTCTTTCTACAGTAACCCAGGGAGAGGATCTGTGGCAAATGCTTGAACTCGTACTCAGGCTGCACTTTCTGATGCTGGGGAGATAGTTGCTGCAAGTAGGCCCACTATATATTGACCACTTTCTTTTCTGTGGTCTAGAGCCACTCATAAATGCAAAGCCCCATTGACTCCTAGAGCTCCTAGAGCAGGATCATTAAGGAGACAGTCATTTTAGTGGGATATAGAAGTTGTGGCACTTGGTGCATGGCCAAACTCCTTTCAAGTAGAATGAGTAGACCTGGATATATTATTGGGTGAGCTGGAGGAAAACCATATGAAGTTTCAAGCTCTGGCTCTGGTTGTTGCTGAGGGTTTTTTCCCCCATTAACTCCCCAATGCAAATCCATTAGAAACCAGGCCATTGAGTAGCCACTGGCACTGTGTGCCATAAGCCCTTTCTGAAGAGAAAATGGGAGCCGTATGTTCTTACCCTTTTCTGCATTGCTCCAAGGGGATGTAGCCCCTGGAAATATTTGCATGCTCACTGAAAAACACCTCTTTATTCTGTGATCTATGGACACTTGCATATGATTAGTCCATAGCTAAGAGGTTTAGAATGGAGTCCTTTGGGTGGTAGCTGTAAAAGCTGGGGCACTCAGTGAGAGGCATAAACCCCTTCCAGGAAGACACAAAGAGCTGCATGTTTCTAGCCCCTTCTCTGTACTTCTTCTTGGGAATGAAGCCCTGTAAGTGCTTAAACATGAATATAAAATTGCCAGTTTTTTCTTTGATCTAGATAGACTCACAAATACTTAGTCCCCTCTGGTCTCAGAGGTAGGATGTTTAGGACACAGTACCTTGGGTAGAAGCTATGAAAGTGGGATACTCAATGCATGGACAAGCTCCTTCCAGAAAAAATTAATAGAACTGGAGTTATGACTGTGGTAAACTTGGAGAGAAGGCTCCAGAAGAGCCAATCTGCTTCTCAGGCTGCTGGTGGGTTAATATTTATCTGCCTTCTTAACTCCCTGATACAAGTTAGTTGGAAGCCAGGCTGCCAAGTAGCCACTGGAAAAGTATGTGATAAACTCCTTTGGGGGAGAAACAGTCGCGTGGGTTTAAGCCCCTTCTCTGCACTGCTTCTGTGGGACCAAGGCTCTGGAAATGCCTGCATACTTGTATCAAACACTGCCTTTTTCCTGTGTTCCACAGAGACACATATACCAGTCCCCTCTGCTCCAAGAGCCAGAAGGTTTAGGATGCAGTCCCTTGAGTGAAAGCTGTAAAAGTTGCGGTGCTCAATGTGTGAACAAATTCCTTCCAGAATAGATAAATAGACCTGGAGTTACTGCTGGTGTGAACTTGGAAGAAGACTCAAGAAATGCTGATCTGTTTCTCAGACTGCCAGTGAGCTATTGATTTCTTTACCTCCCAGATGCAAGTTAGTTAGAAGTCAGGCTGCCAAGTAGACACTGGGAGATTGTGTCCCTTCTAGGGAGATAAAGAGCTACATTTTTAAAGCCCCCTCTCTGCTCCTCTCCTGGAGCATGAAGCCATTGGAAGCGCTTACTTGCTTACATAACACGGATGCATTTTCACTGTGGTCTGGAGAGACTCTCACATCTAACCCCTTCTGTTCCCAGAATTGGTGAATTAAGTGTCAAACCAAAGGAAACCTTAGAGTTAGGGTGTTATATGTGAGGTCCAAACCCTTCCCTCACAGGGAAAAGCTGGGTGTTGGGGATTCCGTTCAAGATTTTTATGACACAGTGCCTGGGGGAGAGTCTGTGTCTGAGTGTGCTTCAGCTTTTCCTACTCGTGTGGTGTGGGTGTTCTCTCAGTTGCCTGGTGGGTAGGACTCTCTCAGATGGTATCTAACTTTCTCTCAGAGGGAATTGATCTGTGAATAGATGTTTTTTTTGGTGCATTCGTGGGTCGAGGGAGAGGCAGGAGCTTCCTATTCTGCCATATTGCTGATGTCACCTTGATTTTTTTTTTTTTTTTTAACGAGTGGGATATGTAATTTTGCTTGGGTTTCTTAAATTCAGGAAGTTTTTTTGCAAAGATGGACTGGCTCAACCAGTTTTATATTATGAAATGATGAAATGTTATTAGAGCAAAAAAATCAACCAAAAAACCTATTTGCTTGAAATAGCTTATGTAAAAGATTTTGTAGCTGCTATTTTTCATACATGTTGAATATTTTAAAAAATAATATTTCCAAAGATCACATGTTAGATTATGCACTTCCAATTGGAAACAAAGATTGTGGCAAGAAAAAAGAAAATGACAAGAGCTCTTGGTTAATGCATGAAATTATATTTTAAGGGCATGAAATATAGTGAGCATAGATCAAAACCCAGCCCTCTCAAAAACAAAGTTTTCTGAAGATTCATACACAAGCCTAATTGTCTTGTTTGAAAAGACATATAATTAGTTTCATTGTTTGAGGCATCAGCCATGTCTCTGCATAACCCATCTGATACTGCCTTCTTCAGACTGTCACATTCCATCAGAGGACTGTTTATTTTCTCTCTCATCTGCCTTGCCTCAGCCTTTATCCTGAGCAGATGCTCATTCTTAACGCACTTATCTAGCACTCCTGCCAGTTTCAGTCACAGCAGAATTCATTTTTTTCATTTAGTGCTGTTGAATCTGTTATCCAGTCTAAGCTCCTCTCCCCCGGATTCCAGGTTCTTATTTGAATATGGGAATTAGACACTGGTGAACACTATTGTCCTCGAGCATCTGGTGAGTTTTGGATTGATTGATGAGGCTGTTGATTCAAATGCATCCAGGAGAAAGAGAAGAATTTCTAACATCTGATTCCTTTATTTCCTTCAAGGCCAGTCCTGTTGGCTTTTTGTGTACCTGTTACTTATTTTCAGATATTTTTAAATAGTATCATTATGTTTGATTATTCAGGCATTGGCTGTTTAACCTGTGGGTGCTTCATATCCTGAGTTTGTCTTTTTTGGGTCACAAAAGTCCTCTCATTATAATATTTTCTAGTCTTTAAGCTTCCTAGAGGTAGGTACTACAACTTATTCATTCTTTTTTCTGTTACGGGATGAAAGTGGCCCCCAAAAGGATATGTCCACATCTTAATCCCTGGAACTTCAGAATGTTTATTTGAAAAAAGGGCATTTGCAGATATAGTTAAGGATCCCGAGATGAACCCATAGTATCTACTTAGATTGGCCCTAAATCAAATGGCTAGTGTCCTTGTAAGAGAGACGGAGGACAAAACTGACACAGAGAAGAAGATGATGTGAAGATGGAGGCAGAGATTGGAGTGAGGTGGCCACAAGCCAAGGAAACTGGCAACCACCAGAAGCTAGAAGAGGCGTGGAACAAATTCTCCCATAGAGCCTCAGAGACAGTGTGGCCCTGCTGACACTTTCATTTCAGACTTCTAGCCTCCATCCCTGTGAGAAAATAAATTTCTATTGTTTTAAGACACCCAGTTTGTGCTAAGCTCTTACACCAGCCACAGGAAACTAAAGCACTCCCTACCCATGGCACCTGGAACAAGATCTGGCACAAAAATTCTCAGCAAATTTTCCTACATTCATAAATGATTTATGACTAAAAAGACTGACAGAAGTAGGACAGTATTTAGTAAGAATAAGCCAGTTTTAGTTTATCTATGCTTTCTGTTCACTCCCTTATTTAGATTAGTAAATATTCAAATGTAGTGACAAGACTATGTGCCTGAGCATGGCTACTGGCGGTTTGAAAAAGCATTGGAAAATAAGATATCCTGGATTTCTATTGCCTCATTCAGCTGTGAATGGTGAGAGTGATTTTCTAATGGAATGATGAAATACTCTGCTAATCCTTTCATAGGAATTTAGGTTGTTTTTGGAAATGAGAGCCATCAAATCTTTTCTGGCAGCCACAGTCTCTATATTCTGAGCATAGGAACTCTTGAGTTGTCTCATGTCTCTATCTGGGCAATTCTGGGCTGCCCTACAGGTGTGGGTTTAGAAAACCAGGATGTGTATTATCACTGAAATGGCCTTATATATATGGTGTTGCTACCAGTCAATTTCTGATCATTGTGGACTGAAAGAAGTCTGAACCTGCTCACAACTCTTCAGCAGGGTAGCAACTTCAGTTTGAAGTATTGCATAGATGTGAACAAAAGCACAGTTAAGACAGCTTCTTCCAATATTAAAAGAAATGATTTGAAGTCATATTCAAATTACCTTGAGTTATTTAAAAAGAACAAACCATTATCCACCATGCTGGAAAACCTTGAAGGTTTTATTCTCAATATCTTTACATTAATACAGATGCTTTTTATTTTGTGCTGAGAAAATCAGTCTGTTACACAGAATGTAACTTTAATATACAACATAGAAACTCATCCTAAATTAGTTACAACAAGGACCTACAAAAAACTTCATAGGAAAAAAAGTTACGTAATATTGCCACCGTATTTTTTTTTTAGTAGACTGACCCTGTCAGACCCTGTCACCAATGCTCAGCTCTGTAAACATGGTTATTTCCATGTTCCGGGGAAATTGTTAATAATAGGGACACTAGAATCAGCCTAGAAAGTCGTAGCACATCACTATATACAGTCCTCAAAAATAATTTATCATACTGTTTCTAAAAAAAGGTACTAGGGTTGTTCTTTTGCTCTGTTTCCATATTCTGGAGCTGCACATGAGCACTTTTGTCTAACAGTCTAAAAACACAACAACTGAACTGCAATTCACAATCACAGAGATGAGGTGGTGGAGTCGAGGACTTCCCGCCCATTGCACACCGTTGGGACATACGTGCTTGCGGAGGCTGGAAAACAAAATGGGACAGAAAAGTTGACGTTAGTCAAATGGGACACAAAGGTAATAGCATGAAGGATACAATGGGCTTTGGGGGCTCAGGGGGAAAGGGTAGGAAGGAGTAAGGGATAAAACACTATACATTGGGGTTCAGTGTATATTACCCAGGTGATGGGTGCGCCAAAATCTTACAAATCACTGCAAAAGAACTTACTCATGTAGACAAATACTACCTGTTCTCCAAAAACCCACGAAAGTAAAGAAATGTGAAAAAAATAAAAACTCATTTTAACTTGGCTTTGGAAAATGCTAAGTGGTTCAAATGCTAGTGTAGGTCAATTTTTAAATATGTTCTGCTCAAAATTAGTCTGCAACCAGGAACATACCACCACTAATGCTACACCTTTTGATGGGAGAATTTATAAGTATAATCATCATTGAAGGAAGTCACCTGTGGTTTGAAAATTAGCTTTGGTAGTCTATAAACTGGTTAAAATACAATGTGTAAAATCAAAAGCTCACTGCGGTTTTTTTTTTATAGGTTACTAAATTATTTACTCTTTTCAGCACGTTAATTAGTTTTGCTCTTTATACAGGGATGACTCTCATATTGTCCATGAGTCATCTGTGAACTCCATTCCCTTAGAGAATGGTTTGATATATTTTAATTGTTCAAGTGGATAACCTCAGTAAAAACACCAGTAAGGGCTGGGGTGCTAAAAGCTTCAATTTCATGACAGTTCTTATCAAAGATACTCCAAAGGGATGGTGCCCTTGTTAATGATAATAGTGACAACATTGTCATGATGTGCATATAATATGGATATGTATATTCCTTCTTTTCATGGCACTCAGATTTCCTAGATACAACTCTTAGCTGTTAACTTTTGGTAAGGTTTTATTTCATGAGAAATCTAGGTACAGATAAGTTGTATGTATTGCACCTTTAATGCTTTTTCTTTTCACTGAATGAGAACAAAAGCAAGGAGCCCCATTCTCTATGGAATGAAACCATGTAGCCAAGAAAATAGGTTAAAGAGATGGCATTTCATTATATTTAAGGTTTCTCTCATACAACCCCTTAGCCTGTACGTACCCTCACCAGTAGGAGCCGATCCTCTGGGATACTTGATCACAGCCCAAATCAAATTGACTAGCCATCTGTTCCATTCTTCAGGAGCATCTCTTAAAGTTAACATGAAGATAAACTGGCTTCATGCTTAAATTTTCATGCTTGATAGTGGACATATTATTGACTCATACATTTGCCTTTTACCTGTGCAACATTCCTATTAATTTTTTTAAACAGGAGCAACTATTTATGAAATTTGAGATTATATGGCATTCAGTGGGCAAGTATTCACTATACTTGTGGCACTGAAGTCTGTCAGCAGGTCCACCATTATGGAATCTACAGCCCCTGAGTTTTGCATTGATTACGTGGCTAGGTATGTAAGAAAATCTATGAAGTCAAGCTTGTGTGGCTACCTCCAGTTACGCTGGAGTCATATGACATGCTAACTCTTTTGGAGATATTTTTTCATCTTATTGTTAGGATCGGGTTCAATTTTCTTTACAATATGAGCCCATTAAAAGCTGTAGTATCTCCAAGGGCAGGTATGGGGTAATCTGCATTTCCCGAAACTGTGACAATGAAGAAATTATTAACAGTATGTGCCAGGTAAATACCTGAGGGAAAGTGGTCATAATCATAATTCAAAATGTGAGGGCTTTATTATTTGTAAATACTTTAATTAGATAAATTGTTTCCATATATTGCATCTAATACTAGCTTCATCAAAGTTACATGAGGTAAGAGAAAGGGCAAGGCAAAGTGAGATGGGTTACTGGAAACCTAGGAGAGCACTCTAGGCCATTCAATATGTGCTTTTTCTGCAGCACCTTGTATCCAACTGCCTACTTGACATCTTCATGTGGATGTTTAAAAGCCACTTCAAAATCAAAGGCCAAACCTGAACCCTTGATTCCCTAACCTGTCCTCATTTAGCTTTCTTTTCCTCAGTGAATGGTTTTGCCATCTGGCCAATTGCCCAAACACTAAAATTTATGTTTCATTCCTTTTTGTATCGACTCTTCCCCATGTCAAACCTATCGTCAGTTTAAGTCAACTCTAGATTTACATCTAACTAGTTCTCTTTGCATCTACCACCCTGGGGCAACCATGATCTTCCTCCTGACCACTGCAAGAGCTGTACCACTCCTCTGTCTGTTTCCACTGTTGCTTTTTTGCAATATATTTAAAATACTCTTACAGCAGTGAGAGTATTTTAAAATATAAGTCACCTATATATGCCCTTCCAGTGGTTTCCCTGTGTGGTCTCTTTACTCTGGCTTATAAATCCTGCTGTGATTTGGACCATGCCTCTCTTTTTGTGTTTGCCTCATTTCAAATTTTCTTTCCTGCTTTTTGCTTTTGTTCTCAAACATGGCAAATGTTTCTCAACTTCGTGCCTTTGCCGTAACATTTGCCTCTGCTAGGAACGTTCTTCCCTCTGATCAGCTAGTGTCTGGCTCCTTGTCATCCACATCTGAAATGTTATCTCGAAAAGGCAGTCATCAGGCCACCTACTTTAAAATAATAGCCAAACAGTTACTATCTGTCACACCACCCAGTTTTGAAACTCAGCCTAGCCCAGTTGTTGCTGCCTGAGTTTTTTCTTGCTTATTATGATTTTTGGTGTAGCATCCTACAGCCTTGACTAGAAAATATGCAGGGGCTTTAGTTATCGGTTTCATTATTTTATCTCTAGTGCTGGTCATGGAATAGGCCCTCTATAAACATTTCCTGAATGACCATATAAATGTCTGCATTTCAAAGAATCAGGAAACCAGCGGAAGTTTCAAGAAAGAAATAATCTTTTAAACTAGAGAAGTGACCAGCAAACGTGAGGCCTAGAGGCAGCCTTATTTTCAAACAGGTGGGCTTTTGCTTTTCAAGCCATATTGTGACAATGACCATCAGCTATCCTTGCCAAGAGAACTGACTCAGGTTGTGAGCTCCCCATACAGGCATGCTGCCTTTGACATGTTAAGTAACCTCTTTATCTTTTCCAGGATCAAGCTTTATTATTTCTGTGCAGGCTAAAAATGAAATTTTTAGTGATTGAAGAGGAATAATGTCTTAACAGGGATAAGTCTAGGAGTAAGTACTAAGGCCTGGGTTTCTAATATCCCCTCTTAAGTTTGTATCTGAAACCACATGGATGTTACCCGTCCTCTTATGGAACTTGATGTAATGCTATTCTTTGCAGTGTACTTTTATAGTCAGATTGCCCATTGCATTCTAATTTCTTAAAAATTAGGTGTATCTTGCCTAGGTGTGAAGGACAGAGTCTACAAAAGATAGCTTCATGAAAAGTTCTCCAGTTTTAGTATAAAATAGTCATCTACTATGTGCTCCATGGACATCATTATGGAAGTTAATAGAACAACTTTGTTTCATCTACCTGCTTCATAGGGACATTCAAAGGAGCAACCTAAGTCAGATTCTTTGAGAGGAAGATAATACAAATTCAGTGTCTTCTTATAAGAAATAGCAACAGCCAAAAATACCCACAAGATTCTTTTTGCAACTGCTTTTCCTCCTAAATACCTTTTAATGTGTCAAAAGGAACTCTAACTTGTACTTTTCTGCTTCTCTTTTATTATTTCATCTGTAGCTTCGGCATTCTTTTATGCAAAAAAAAATTCTCATTTTTGCACGTGCTGTTGAATATAGTAGGGGAAATTATTGTTTTATGAGCTTACTGTGTCAATTACTTTGCTTTTCATAAATATTTTATGTATGCCTCACGTATTAGCCCATCTGTTATTCACCAAGGTAGTAAATTGTGTAGAAGGGCAAAGTACTGTCATTTGTGTGTGTATGTTTGTGATGAACTTTTTCTATTTTTCTGATGAAATCTTCATGGGATTTTTAATGGTGTAAGTTTAGCACATTTTCTTGAGTGCGGTTAAGCAAATTTCTATAATCATCCTTTCTACCAGACATAAGAGGCATGAAGCCTTATTTTTGGCTTTCCTGGGACTTAGGGTAAGTAGCAACTATTGGTACTCTAGGATAAGGTATGCTTTTTGCCATTCAAAGTGAAAATTTAAGGTAGCTGAAAAGGACCTTGTAGCTTCCACTATTGATCACAAAAGGGTAATTCACAGCTATCAAAAGGCATATTTTGCTTCACAAACTGGTGAAACATTGGAGATCAGTGTAACCAAGTGGCAGCTTTGTCTTGCTCTGTGAAATCCACTTCTCTTCTACCAGTAATGCATGGGCTAGCCAGGCTTTGGAGAAAATTATTGTATTTTTCAGGTAATTGGACCCTCGATCAATGCTAAATATATTTATTTAATAGATCTTTATGGCTGCCAAGTCTGTTAGTCAATTTACTGGCTGAGACTTGTTGCTGAGAATCAGTCTTACTTTAGCAGTGTTACTTTGTATCAGTCTCAGAAAAAAAAATAAACATTTCGACAAGACAGACATTCCAATTTGCTCCATCTGTTCCATTTCCTTGCTTTTGATGACCCCAAATAATTTTTCCCAGGAAGTCTGTTTGTTTAAATATTTTACTGTTATGGTGATGGAATCCAGTTTCCACTAGCTGCTTGTTGCCTTGTGTCCTGCTTTGTTATTGAATCTTTTCTTACTTGTCATCTTAATTTTACTTGTGCTAGCGTCCGTTGGTTCCATTTCAGGAGAATCGTATTTGTTGATTGATTAATATATGTTATCTGGGCAGATTAGGACACTACTACTACCCATTGGTTTGATATTCTTGCTATGTCAGATATTTCACAGTGGAAGGCAAAGAATTCATTATTAAGAAATCTAGACTGGGCCTGGTGCAGTGGGTCAGGCATGTAATCTCTGCACCCTGAGAGGATCACTTGAGGCCAGTCAGGAGTTTGAGACCAGCCTGGGCAATGTAGCAAGACCCTATCTCTAAAGAAATTTAGCTGGGCAAGATGGCATGTGCCTCAGGTGCTGAA